TCCTGCAGAGTTTAGCTCCAACCCTAATTAAACACACCTAAACCAGCTAATTAAGCTCTTACTAAATATATTTGAAACGTCCAAGCAGGTGTGTTGAGGCAAGTTGGAGCTAAACTCTGCAGGACACCGGCCCTCCAGATCCGAGTTTAGAGACCTCTGAGTTATGCAAACAAGCATTACACGAAAGTAATCCATTCTTGATCTTCTTTCATTTAGTTTTGATCAATCAGCTGTACGATACTGATATTAAGGACTGGCAAACATGTCAGTGCTCCCTAATTCCTATTAACTTCCACTCTGTGGTCTATACCAGGGGTGTCCAATCTTGGAGGGCCAGTGTCTTGTACGGTTTAGCTCCAACCATCTCCAACACACTGCCTGAAGGTTTCTAGCGAGAAGACCTTGATTTGCTTGGTGTGTTTAATTAGGGTTTGAGATAAGCTCTGCAAGACAGTGGCACTCCAGGTACAGGTTTGGACACCCCTGGTCCATATAATAAGTGTTTACCCAGTCGGGGTCCGTGGCTTGAACAGTGACTCTGTAGTAGGTCAGCTGTCCATCTTCTCGTTCCTGCACAATGAGTTTGTCTTTTGGAAATCTCTTCGTGAGCTGAGCGATCTCAGTGGCTCTCAGCTGCTTGCAGACCTCGTCAGTGAGATCAGCCAGTTTGACCTGCTCTTGACTTTTAGCTGGCCGTGTGGCCGGAGCAGAAGGCCTGAAGCTGCTTCTCTTTTTCGGGCCGTGAGGCTGGTTCTCCATGGGCGAAAATGGCTGTGGATGCAAGAAGCGACACCGGTCCTCCATTGCACAAAACCCAGACAGGAAGTAGCGGCAGGGTCGCCTGGCTCTCTCTTGCTTCACAGGAACAGTTTTGTGGCTGGGTGGAGGCAGATGCTCCACTGTACCAGAGCGTCCGTTTTCACTCGACTGCTTCTGTGGGTCTGATGTGTGACCATCCAAATTTCCTTCTTTCTCATTGTGAGCTGTACCATTCTCTCCGTCCTTCTGTGCACTCGCAGCTCTTTGATGAAGAAAGCGGCATTTTTTCCCATAATAGCATTGCCTGCCCTGAGAGTAGAAGCGGCACAGTTGCTTCACCTGGCCGGCCTTCTGTGAAGTGTCCTTACTGCTAATCTCAGTATTTTGGCTTGAGTTGTCATTTTCAGTGTTAACTGACACGGATGAAGAGGCTGGTTCATCCTCAGGACCCAATGACTGTGAAATAAATAAAACAACATGAAAACGTCTGTTATATGACAACATTCTCACATGAACAACATGCTGTTTCAGTGTTTGATGTAGTGTTTTTTTAAAGGGATAGTTCACCCAAAATGTCGTCTTTTGTGTTTAAATCCTAACTGTGAATGAAAAATAAAACAACACCAATATTACAAAATATAACATTAAAAAGCGTATAAATCACTGTCCAACAGCGACACCAGCAGGTAAACTTACAGCGGGAGTCTGCGTCTCTCTCGCCTCCCCTGAGCCGAGAATGCCTCAGAACACCAGCGCACACCATTGGTTCCCACCATGGGCGTCGCTAGGCCATTTTTAGGGGGGCTATAGGGGTATATACTACTCAGCCCCCCTAAAATTTTGCGATTAGCTCCATAAACTGTACACGAATTTGTG